ATCGGTATCCATATTTCTAACTTCAGCCACTTTACTATATTACTCGAAAGTATTTTCACTACTACTGTCTATTAATTTTTACGGATTTTTGAATAGTTTGCCTTCAGTTAGTCTCTTTTCTTTCAAACGTATTATCCTCAATACCTTCTAGTATTTCACCAAACAAACCAAGCGTCTCAACACTTTCCTGATTGCTATTTATTTAATTTTTTTTATAATAAATTATTTTGTTCAAACTCAGACTATTCTCCCATTGTTTTCATATTGTGATGTGCGCTACTGATATACACGTTAGTAGTATATAACGATTGTCATAATTAGAATATACTTTAGTAGAAGATCGAGAAGGAAATAGCGGGAACGGGAAGCAATTTCTATGAAAATGCAGGAACAATGAAATCTGAGAGGATGGACTGATATTTGTTAGAGGAACAGTGAAGTTTGAGACAATTGATTGACATTTTACAAACTAGGTATCTACTGTATTGTTTTCAGTTCTTAATGAGATGCTCTGTAATTTGGTGCTTAAATACATTTGATTGTCCTCACTTGTCTGCTTGTTCGATACAATATCGCCAGCATCGATACAACTCTTTATTTTTGGAATTGGTAGATTTGTTATCCTCAGTAGTTAATAAATTTTCAAAATAGTTTATTCTCATACCCTTAGTCACTTACTGGTTTAGTGACGAGGTTTGTTATAGCTTCACAGACAAGATTTCATCTTGGAGAATAATAACTTGAGTTTAATTTAATATGACAAGACTAATCAATGATACACAAGCAAGACTTCATCTGTACTCGAAAGTTTCCAAGCTACTATCAAAGTCAGTTGTTTAAGTAATTATTACAAAACATCTTTTGATGCTGTATGATTACCTGATTTCCATCAACTGACTTCAAAGTATCTATGGTGATAACGAGTATTTGAATTATAGTATGAACTAGGAATCTCAGAAATAACGTAATCGGATCAAGGACTACTAGATAACCACAAACGAATGTACTGTATTTAGAGTTCCAAATCAAGCCTTCGACAATAAACAAAGGTATCATTAGCTCATTCAAACGCCACAGTAACTTTCTAGTTAACGCAGATACTTTGTAGAACTTATGGTCTACTATGATATTTGTACTGCTCTAATAATAGACCTAATCCTAAATCTGTAGATTTGTCATGATATGACTGCCTAATCTATAAGATCTTACGTGGAAGTCACACCATCGACTACACCAACTCACTGTATCGTATCAATTACCAATACATGATGTAGAACAAGGTTAGGCTAGAGAAAGAACAATATATTTAATATGAATGGAAGATATAAGGTAACATTCAGCAGAGACCACGCCTGCATGGCCGAGCCATGCCGTTCGATCAACCCTAATTCATTCAGTTCATTATTCGCGCCTTCTCCATTGTTAGGTATTTCTTCGCGTTAAATATCGAATACCTATTTTCTGAGTAATCTCGTATTCAGCTTTGAGGAAAGTGTGGTTATGGTCCAATGCCACTACAACTTCATTTTACTCAGTAATTAATCTGTTTTAATTCAGTGGATTATCAGTTTAAACGACTCTACTTATTTTAAATAGTTGAGATCATGAGTAGATTGAAGTTGGACCACCATGGAAAACTTGGAAGCACTGGACGCCTGAGGAGTCCCACAAACGAACAAAACGGCCGTACAGTGCTTACAGGTTTTCCATGGTGGTTTAAATTCACTTGGCTCATGATCTCATTTAAATTATTACAATCTCCACAATACCCTTCTGTATACTCGTATATCATATATAACTACTTCGCGGCAACTGGACCAAAAACATTTCACTATCTGTAGTGCTTTATTAATATCATTTATGGTATTTTGGACTGATTAAATATATTTGCTCTTGTGAACAGTCATAGTGATTTGAAAGTTGGAACAGTTTATTTGTTAGATGTGCCGATGATATATCACTTTAAGTGTGTAGATTTCGCTTAACACTGTGAAGCTAGGTGACAAGAATTAGAATCTTAGGTGATAAGTCAACTCCCTTAAAATTGAAAATGCACGAAGTTGAAGAATTTAATCTACCGACGAACAGAGATTATGAGCTTTGTGTTAATTACCTTCAGTCACATAAAGTTGTAGTATGTATTGTGCGACACTGATTCACTTACACTTGTAGCCACACTGAAACCAGATGGATAGAATTCAATGATTATCAGAGCTAGACAACTTTGATACTTGTTACAGTCCAATAACCACTTAATTTAGGTTTCATTACTATGAAGTATTGAGCAACATTATTGTTTGTTTAACTGTCAAGTTCTTTTTGCTGTGCTGGAACCAATGGATTTTCAAGAAAAAAGTAGGTTTTTTATGGAGATAATGAATCGATGAATGTTAGACTACCATTGGAAACCTGTGAGCCCTGGATGGCCGTTTCGTCCTAGTATGGAATGCAGTGCTTCCAGGTTTTCAATGGTGGTCTAACATTCACCGATTCATGATATCAATCAAAATATTAGCAATCTCCACATCACTACACTGATAAAAATGTAGGTTGTTATGCTGAGTTTGGCCTTCAACTTACGGTAGAGGTTCATCAACATTATTTTGGTAAGAATTTAGTCGTGAAAATACGTGACTTGCAGTTAAAATTCAAATCATCATGCATACAAATGAAAGTTACTCACTTTTGTCACAAAATAAAAAAGGTCCATTGAACTTATAACTTATTACAGTCTTTACTATAATTGCCCTTTTATCACTGAAAGATTTAGAGCATTTAATTGTTGTTAGTTTGAGCACTTGTTTATTGGTCATCACAGAATCCTGACTTGTCTTAACTGTGAACTAATATTAATGCACTAATAACAGAGAGTAAAATATAATACAACTTATTTTGTAAACTGATTCGTAGTAGTATTTGATAAATGGACCAACATTTGTAGCGATAAATAAATTCCCGAATTAAGCAGTTCTGTAAGTCCCCATCGTTGATGCTAACCTCGTTAGTTTTACTGGATGCATTTAGCTGAAGGCTCTTGGTCACGCGTCCGCACCAGATCATGAGTGGGTATGCTGTTTTACTCATTCCCCGCAAGTGTTAGCCAAATTGGACCATACACCTTTCGATATATCAATAGCTTTCCAAATATATCTTCGAACCACTTCGTTTCTGACTTCTGACTTGACTAGGTTGGTATACTTCAACTATAAACGTGCTACGTTTAAAGATGTTGCGGAATCGTTACATTAGTTTAAGTCCAATTATCCTATGCCCACTAAACTCTATCGTAAACATCATTCTGTCCTTCTTTTATGGGTTGTTGCCAGGACATCATACATATTTTAGCAGTATTCAACAGATATACAAATCCAAATGTGATTTTTTACTTCTGTCAGAACTACCTAACTAACGGTACCTGTTATATTTATTACTGATTGTTGGGTAAGTCTCTGTTTAAATGTAATATGAAGATTACAATGTAAAATAATACGGCAAAAGAAACAAGAAAGGAACTTGGACGTGGGAGTGATTTACATGCGGACTAATCTAAATTTACGCATTTGACTTGGCTGAAAAAATTAGCTAGTGTCAGATAAAAAAAACCCACCAGTCTTGAGTAATAAGGCATCAGCACTACTGAGAAGATCTATAAATAAAGATCCGGAGCAAACTTACTGAATGTTATCGGCTTTATCTTTATTTGAGAAGTTGGTTATGTCTATTACCAGACTCTTTATCACAAGACTTAAACAGTATATTCGATGGGAATCGTAAATAAAACTAATAAGAGACGAATAAATGCCCGCAAAAAGTATCAAAAAGTGTACATGAAAAAAAATCCGGAGAGAGATAAACTGAATCATTTTTCAAATTCGTATTTAGAAAATAGTTACATAAATGTATGTGTTTCGTGAAATCGGACATTATGGTTTCAGTGACTGAGGATTACCTTACCCTACTATTCTATTCATACAGAACAATAAATGTGAAGACAACTAGTGTAGAATCAGCCTCTGCATCAGTAGGCCTCAACATACACAAGGGAAAAGTAAGATCCTGAAATACAACACGAGTAACACCAATTAAATCACACTTGGTGGCGAAACTCTGGAAGAGTTGGAATTTTTCATGTACCTGGGAAACATCATCGATGAACAAGGATGATCGGATTCAAACGTAGAGACAATGATTGGCAAAGTAAAGATCCGCATTCCTACTATTAAAGAATATATGAAACTCGAAATAACTGTCAACCAGTATCAAAGTGAAACTCTTCTACTGTGTTGAGCTGAAATTTGGAGAGCTACGCATGATATCAATATCCTTTGACCGGAAACCATCAACAACAACTTACCTTGGGAGAGAATAAACCAGCTTACATCTGATATTGGAAGTGAATAGGACATACATTGCGGAGATCACCAAACTGCAAGCGCCTACCTGGAATCCTGAATGGAAAGGGAAAATATGAAGGCTGAAGAACACTATACGTCTGGGATCGGAAGTATTCATTAAAAGAATCAATGACAACTGGAACGAACAGGAAAAGATTACTCAGGACAGAGTTCGGTGGAGAATGCTAGTGGGCGGCCTATGCTCCTGCATAAGTGGCAACGGGTGTAAATAAATATTATATTAGTAAATATAGCCTTTGTGTTTAGAAATCAGTCATCGTACTTACCATTGAAATAAGTGAATCACTTAGAGGTTGCTGTTTCGATGAAACCGACTAATGTACTCACAAAATAGCAGTGATATCATTAAATCGAATACTCGTCATATCGCCTTTAAATGTCTAGTTTTCTTCACTCCTAAGACAATTTACATTCCTTGTTCCCTCCTGTTTTGAGGTCTAAGTCATCAATTTGTACATTGTAAATCAAATAAGACATCGTCTAAACTTTCCGCATTGAAGAAAATGGTTATTAGTTTCTTGAATCTTTTTGATTAGAATTGAGCATTGAAATAATTCACTCTCACAGTTAGTTTAGGCTGCGGATACGGCGCATTTTTAATTTGCTGTAATGAGTTCATGTGCTCGAACAACAAAAGACTTTTTAATAAGCCTCAACAGAAAAAAGGTGATTGGCAAAAGGGAGTTTTCAAAGGTCGAGTTACGAAGATGCCTAACTATCCTTGATCTAACTGCCTTAGGTATTATTTACAATTTCTGAAACATACTTTCATCATAGGAGTTGGCACAACTTTAGGTGCTGGAGTGTATATTCTTGTTGGCGACGTTGCCAAGTTCACAGCTGGTCCTGGTGTTATAATATCTTTTTTGATCGCAGCGGTGGCTTCCGTTCTATCAGGTAATTTCCCCTCGTAATTGATGAACACCTATGATCATATTATTCTTTCGCGTTCTTTGAAATATGCACTAGAATGTTCGTGTTTAACTTTTGTCTTTTAATTTTAAAAATCAGCAAATGGATTTTTCCTTTAGTGTCACATCATGCCTGAGTTTTAGACTTCATAGCCAATTATTTTGAGATATGTTTAAATTTTTGGGATATTCTAATAAACACTTCTAGGTTATTTATTTTCCTAGTCATTATGGAGGCGATTTGTTGGAATTTACTTAACTTTATATCATCTCTTCAAAAAAGTCTGTCTGCTACGGATAAATATTACAAGTGCCTTAATCAAAGAATTGTCAGTGATACTTTGAGTTATGTGAAATGACATTTTCACTGTCTATATTATATAGTATCTTTGAAACGGAAAATCTGGTGTTCACTGAGTAATACATATACTTTATAAATGATAACATCACTGTCTGTCGAAAGTTCTAGGTGTTTTATATTTTTTAGGATTTAAACCTTCATAAGCAGTTGCTTAAAGCATTTGTCGCATATCAGGTAAGAGAAATTGGTCTTTCTAAATTATATTCATAATAAGTTTATAAGTTTAGTAGTTATTTGCTGCTCATAAACCGCTTTTACCGTAGTATTGTAGTTAAACCTATGATGGCTTTGTCGAATAAAACTATATTGTTAAAACTTTGACTTCACATAGATTGGTGAACGAAAAGTGGCATTTGTCGGTAATGATTATGTGTTCCTGTCAACTAACAAAACAATAATTCAGCACTTACTAGACTATAGTCGTATTAATTTAATAATGTATAACTGGAATGGGGACATTTCAAATAGGGCTATGGTCACCTTTTGAAATTAACCGATAAGGTAACCTGCTAGCTAAAATATGCTTAATCTTAAGGAATTACTGCAAAAGCTTATGGTATTCAGGTCTGTCCTATTTACCGTACAGTCACTAATTTGAATTTTTTATTAGCACTGTTGTTGTGAGCAAAACCGCTAAGATCTTCTTCACTTAAAGTAAGTCATCGAAGTGACAAACAACGTATGGGGAAATGCTATCCGCTTTATTTAAGAGCTGGTAGTAAGATGATGATATAAAGGCGAGACTTGTAAAAATGCTTAGATTTCATAGAAAACACACGTTATACCCACACGGTTTTATGACGTTCTACTTTGTACTGGTGAGAACTATAAGAATTTGGGAGAATTATCTTACAAGCTGATATGACATGGTCAGCTTAGTAATATTACTTAGTACACTTGTTTCAAGTTTAAACCAAATTTTCTAGGCTTTTGTTCTGCACATGATGTTTTCTGTACTTCTTGCTCTTCAAATGTGATTAAAGCACATTTGTTACTTTGTATATGAGAACAAACTTCTAACTAATACTTACACTCTTAATGCCTTCAACTTAGATTAACTATTATGTCATCGGTAGTGTCAAACATTATACGCCCAAGATTTCTGTATAAAAACAGACTATCAAAAATTGCATACTTATCAAATTTCTTACGTTGCGTTTTCAAATGTTCACAAGGCTATGTTAATTTTTAAAGCATGTGTTAAGTATGGCAACATTTTATAAGTAGATTCCCAAATACTATGGGCGTTTGCCTAGCGGATATTTCATATCCCATCAAAGGATAAACGCCGTTTTTCTTTGTGCGTGTTCAGTTTACTTGTAATATTGGCAACTATCGGGCATAATCTCGATATTTGCCTTAAATCAATTTATTTCACAGTAAGCTCCTAGGAACAAAGTACTTTATATCATGCTGCGTGTAACTGGTGGATCACCATAAGACTAACTACTTCACAGTGTTCTTTCTGTGCTATCAAATATAATACAGGAGAGGGTAACAGCTCTATTAATAGCAACATGTTTACCTTTTTGTCATTCAATATGATCACCTGATGGAAAAGAGGTACTTAAGATCAACCTTTTGAGATATTAAAAGTGACCAAGTTTCACGAGAAGTATAATTTAAATTGTCCTTTATATCGTTCGTTATAAACAAACATTTCCGACAAGAATCAGTTATATTTTGTAAAACCAGTTGTGAAAAGCATATTGTGTGTGGCCAAACTATGAAAAGTTAGTTAAAATACTAAATGTGATGCCCACTATTCACGGTATGACTGCCAAAAACTTAACAACTTTCTTGAGTTTTGAAAACCACCGAGTAATTGCATATCTTAAAATATAATAAAGTGGTTGTTGTTTAGATAAACACAAGTTATTATTTTCATTAAGTAAGCAGACTGTTGGTGATAACATGAATTTACAAGTATTTTAAAGCAAACGATTGTATGTAGAAAGAAAGCCAACTTTAGAACTGTTTTGTCTAGAAATGAAAATAAACACTGTTGGCAAAAGTGCTGGTCAGAGGTTTTTTTAAATAAATCCGCTGAATATCTTCTCTGACTGTTGTTTGAGACTTCTATATAATTAATAATCTTTGTGTAAACTCCTACTAATGTGAACGTTCTTTGTGTGAATCAAAGTTGAACAACATTTAATAATGAGTTTCGATAAAATCTGTAAGCATGTTTGCCCTGCATTTATATCTGGTATTGAACTTACCAAAATTTTGCCAGTAAAACTTTGTAGCTGTCTTAGAATAATAAGAGCCAAGGTGTTGGATTTCAATTTTTTCCTCGTCAGTGAATACTTTATCTTGTATTTAGTACCCATATACTATGAAATTCCATCAAACTGAACACAGATTATCATCTTTTCACGATTGTTATTTGGATCTGATAAAACTACACCTTAATCTTGCAAATCATACTTAAAACAGTAGTAGACCGACAACTCAGGTAACCTTTATAAACTCAGTTAAGTTGACTTGCTTAAAGCAAAACCGTCCCACGATTTCTGAATAAATAGAAACTGAATTTCGTATAACCAAGCTTTCAAAGCAAAAAACTAAAAATATGGAAAACTGATTCAGCAGATGTACAAAAGTTTGCACGTGTAGAGAACTAGCACCAACGATAAGGATTTGTTTGGTTTACAATCTGGCCCAGCAAAGTGGAAAACCCTTGCCGTTGTTTTTATATCGAACAAAATCGTTTAACTCGATGGGTTTGATGACGAAGGGAGATCGCTAAATGAAAAAAGTTTGCATTTTACAAGAGGATTGAAAACATTTGTGGTCGACTGTCTTACTGTGCCACGGTACTCAAGCTGCATAGTCCGCGCTTAACCTGTTGACAACCATTGTCCGTCTTTATAATATGTACTTTTCACCTTTTAAATGCGAAGTACTTTTAAAAGATTGGAAGATTCCTGTGCTGGTGCTCTTTGTGGTGACTCGCTAGAAGTAGTAAGAAAGATTATGCATACAAATGATTTTGTGGGTGCTAGTGGTGGCGTGTCCTTTAAAAGTGATCTATATACAGTGGAGACCAGATAGCTTTATGTACATCCTGTCTGTCTTTGCCGCCGTTATGAAATTAGTCTGTCTTTAAAATGTAGGGCTTACAACTCAGACGTGACAGCAACCTTCTTCTGTTCTTGCGAAACATTTAGATGTATTAAACAAATAAAGTAAACATATGACATTGTTGACTCATGCAAAACCATTATAATTATAAAAATACAATCCACAGACTATCAATCAGTTGTGCTGCCGATAAACCTTAATTTTTAAGGTATTTGTATCATCATGATATAATCGTTGAGGACATCTAATTTTCAAATTTTTGTGTAGTTTGGTAGTATAAATAAAAAACATGTAAACAGAGTTGATGAGGTTCAGTTGATTCTCAATGTAAATTCTTTAGTGTCGAGATTTAAAAAACTCGAACTCCGGCTAAATTTCATACTCGTGATTTCCAGCGTAATAGTCAAAATCAGAACCCCGCTAGGCGGGGTTGTGGATGCGCACTGATGTGGAGTCCCACAATAGGACGAAACGGCCATCCAGTGCTTCCAGGTTTTCCACAGTAGTTTGGTTTCAGTTGACTCATGTTTTCAACCATTGAAATTACTACAATCTCCATAAGACCTCTTCTGATACTATAAACACAGAACCACTGACTCCAACATTCTCGTCAGCCATCTGGTGTGTATAATATCACTGTTGACTGGTAAGAAATGTACAATTTAAGATAACTGCAGAGTGCAGTAAACAAAACTTAGTAATCAGACTGTGCTCCACAATCAATAAAACACCAGTGGAATCATGAAATGCAGTGTCTGTTTAATTACGTACTAAGCATTTCATGCAAGGTTTGTGCCGTATCATATATTAATTTCACTCTTTTTTAATTCTCTGAAAATCCAATTTACGTCATATGTTTATCATATGAAGTATTGTGTTATTATATAAACAGGATAATGGACATAAATGTTTATATTGAAAAATTCATTTAGATTTTTTTACTACTGAAATGGAAGCTAAACAGATTCCTGAAAATACCGTTTCAGGCAGAATACACGTTGTTGAAGTAACATTCAAACAAAATTTTAATGAGGAAAGATCCTTTTATGCGTCAAGGTTTTCAACTTTCCTGAGTAAAGTAGCTTAAGTTTGACGAAAAATTAACCGAATATTCTTCCCCTCTTGCTAAGGATTATGTTATGCCGAGTTTGGAGCCCGTGTGCCACAAAGTGGATCAGCTTATATATATAGCTACATTACTGTTGGAGAAATAATGGCGTTTACAATTGGTTGGAATCTGATACTAGAATATGTAATCGGTATGTTAATATAGTAACTTGTGAAATTGCCATGGATACTTTTCAAATATTTATTTTTCTTTGCTCCAAAAATATGAATTACATGTACAGTAGTATCATAACGAAACAGCAATCTAAATAGATAGAAAAGGTAAAAAATAATAGAAGTTGTAACAAAAATTTAAAATCAATACTAGTCATGTACTTAAAAAATTGTACCTGTGTATGATAGGTTTGTAGTAATTTATATCGAAAATGCAAATATTTTATGTTAGGTACATTATTCTCAACGGTTGTGAGCCCTAATAGCTACTTCGTCTGATCATTACGTAGGTAGTCAGGACGTATCAACATGTACTTAACGTGAGTAGCATTCTATCAATTACGGTTATGTGTAGTTACCAGATTACCCGGAGTTTAATGCGAAATTTCATAAATAATGGTTCACTTGACGCCCGAGGAATTAGAGCATATGAGTTACGCCAAAGTTCTTCAAGTCAGTTTTCTATAATGACTACGTTTCTTGGTATGATAACATCCGTTTTACAATACAAGCTCTCGTGACACGAAGCATCACATAAATATTTGTTTTGCATAAATCGGATGTTAATGGTACCATACTTCAACCGAACGAAGATATGTGAAAACAGTTGTCTCCTAGAAATCTGAACAGTAATATATACTTAAGTTGAGTAAAACGGAACATGAGCATGATGTTACGTTTTACTCTCTGGATTTTAGGATATAACAAACTATAGATAGAGAATCACAATAACATCCCTTTTAAAGATACATAGAATGGTATGCATATTGGTTGTAAGAGATTCTATCCAACATTTCACTAAATCAAGGTTAAATAAACTCTCCTTAACTGATTGCGTAATACCCGTAATAAGAATAAGCACGGAGAATAGCTCGAAACCCCTGGTTAGCACCTACAGTGAAATGAGTGAACTCAGCACATGTGTTAATCCTACTCTGTATCTGAATAACATAACAATTATCATGAACAAAATTGATGTATTTATTTCTGTTACGACTACTTTTCCTTCTATCTAACATGGCTTTGGACTAAAAATTGTTATATCTGTATTTGAACGTAGGGGTGAATTTCCGGAACCAACCAGAGTTTCGCTGATTAGAATAGTTGTATGAACGACAATGATGCCGTTGTACATAAAACTTTTTTTTTCTAACAAAACATACAACGGCACATGCCAAATATACCCTTCATTAGGATCATCACTATATTAAGTTTGCTATAAAGTATCTGGTTAACAACTCCTGGTCATGCGCGTTAGTGTTTTGCGTTTGCTAAATCTCAGCCAACTCAGTTAAGAATACTTATTATTTCTTTAAGGTTATGAGCCATTGTCCCTGGCGGTCCCGATGTTGTCTTTTATCTTTCATATGAATAATGAGACAAAACTCTAACAAAACGGAAACCATAACTTGGTTTAACTTATTTGAACTGTTTTCTTTCTTTCATATTTTTTTATAACACTTTCACTATAATTTACATCAGGCTATTATTTCAAGCAAGATTAAGCAGATTATAAGGGTATTGAGAGTCAAACGATTAAACGACTAACCATAACTTTCGTCCACAAACGCAAAGTTATTTCCGTAACCCCATGTTATTCAGAAGTGTTGTCAGAAATATGAGGGAAATTGATAGTTTAAAATTTTCCATCTGCAATAATATTAGTTATTATGAAGCTGTTATGATAATCAGTCACTACACCAAAAACGTGTATTGAAAACTAAATATATAAACTCATCTAAATTTGAAATAATAATTTTCTTACCTTAGGTATCGCAAGTGTTGCACGAGCTTGGAGCTCCAATTTCGATGGTATACTCAACGGCCAAATAGAAGAATTTTTTAAAAAGCATTTGGCATTAAATCTTCCTGGTTTAGCTGAATATGTAGATCCACTTGCTGTTGGCTTAATTATTTTAATGACAAGTAAAAACATTTGCTCTACGATTGTCATAATTTTCATTGTTTAGTTACACTTATGAGAAATAATATTAAAATATGACATCTGATTACTGTCAACGGTGAATTTGGGTCTTCTATTTAGTAGACTTCACTTGTCGTTTGAGCGAAGCAAGGTTAACTATCGCACTGACTTTCACCTAATAAATTGAAAGTTTCAGTTGAAACTGTTGTACACTACCAATAAATGGAAATTCTTTCTTATTAATCTAAACGAATCAAGTTATCATTTTTCAAGACGATTGTCTTTGAAAATCAAAGTTCATACAATCCTAATTCATTTGTATTGGTTGTTTGAATCTTTCCATCAATGTTGAAGACATCAATTAATCAGTCTCTTTAGAGACATGTGCATCCTGTGGAGATTGGTTCGGTATTGTCATTAAGTTGCAAGCATTATAAGCAGAGGTAGATGGTAGCTAGCAGTGAAATCCAGGGAGAGCGTATTTTTCTATTCGAGACTCGTTGGCTGAACCTACCTACATCCCAGAGTTGATGTTCTACCCAAGACTCGAACCCATCACCATTCTCTTCAGACGCTATCTCGTTATCCACTTGGCCACTGAGTCCATTCGGCTACTGGTTTATGCAATGGGATGAAGTTTAATTGATTGTATCTAACCACTGATATATAGGACTGTGATCCAAGTATTGGAATAATAATCCTATTTCCAGTCATGTGTTTTACAAGTTTTAGGTTTTTAAGATCTCATAGGATTTCAAAACTGATAGTTAATTACTTGACTAGTCATTTATATCTGACAGGAAACTATTTGTGGGGGTTTTGCCGCAAATAGTGAGCCTAGTACCTTGTAGTGTAACCGGGGACTGTTCTACGAATTTTGGAACAACTTTTAGCTTTCCGCTCTCAACTGATATCTAGATTACTACTCTGAGATAATGTTTTTGTAACTGAGAAAATATCTCAGAAGATTTTTCGGTGAGATTATAATTTATGGATGACCTTTGAGCAACGCCAAAGTGACCTTGAGAATGTCCACCTATTTACTAGGGTTAAATGAGGTTTGTAAATGTGTATCAGCTAGTTAGTCAGCTACAACGTAGAACCAGGCACATATATTCATCGGTCCAAGTTGCTACACTTCATTAGCACAACAAGATGAACATCGAATTCATAGAACCAGATTGTATATAAGAATGCAGTACGGGAAGAAAGAACTAATTCATAGAAAGAAAGATATACAGCAATTTTAATCTTACGGTTTAAGGGATGACAAAGTCTGTATACGCTAACCAAGTAGTCTGTATCTATCAACATGGCTCAAACCAGAAGTTAGTAACTTCAAAGACTGATCTCATGTTTTGGTTTGGCTGCCCCCAACTTTCTTCCAACCGTCCCCACCATTTGTCAGCATTGCGCGTCGTGGTAATCGGTGTTCAGGCATACGTAACATGTGGCCCAACCATGTAAGTCGATGAAGATTTACAACCTCATCAACTGATTTACCATCATTTACTCATACCCTGCGTCTAACCTCCCTATTACCTACCAGATGATCTAAGCAGATGTGAGCAATATTTCTAAGACATCTGTGCTCAAATGCTAGTAGCTTATGAGTATTACTTACTTAAAGGTTTGAATAATTTTTTCTGGTTAGCGTTTTTTTAGCGAGTTAGTTTTCTACGGGATGTGGACGCTAACCCCATTCCCAACCCTCCTCCTTTATCTGGACTTGGAACCGGCAGTGGCCCCCGGAGGGACTCCAGGCGGAGTTAGCTTACGAGCATCTTCTACTATTAATGGCCACGTTTCGCAGCCGTAAAGTAGAACAGAACGAACTGCAGTGCACTCATCCCTTGATTGATAGACGTATATCTTGTTTTCACTAGAGGTGACGTGAGTTGGCAAAAGCTAGCGAGCTTTTTGAATCCACGCAGAGATTTCATCAGACACCAGCCCATTAGGGCTGATCAGACTTTCAAAATAAGTAAAGTTGTCGACGCACTGAAGATCAGTGTAAACATGTGTGAATAATAACGACTATGATTTGTAGTTGATGGTTAGAATTAGGATTTAGAGTTTGGATTTTCATCACGAGCTGACATCAGTTAAAATGCCAAAATGCTATTCAGCCAAATGGATGGACGAATTTCGTTCCAAAATTTAAAACTTGTTATCCTAAATCTGATTGGTTCGTCCACAGAATATAATCTCGCCGATTTTTCTACTATTTTATTTCCCCCAACGAGGAACTGTCTTCTATCCACCACTTTTCATTTATTATATCTATTTCAGTTCTTTTAAGCATCGGTGTACGAGAATCCGCAATGATTAACAATGTGTTCACAATCGTCAACTTGTGTGTCATCATATTTGTAATTGTAACTGGGTTGATTTATGCAAATATTGATAACTGGAAAGTTATTCCAGAAAATGTAAGTGTGTTTCTTTGAATTGGCTGAAAATCATATTTCCTTCGTTAAATCTATTCATATTTTAGTTTTTTTTAACTATTTGAAATAACTATTGCGTGAAAAACCGAAAGTAACCCAGTACTGCCTTTCGTTATATTTCACTTTTATTAATATCATTATTTTATGTTAATCAAAAGATGTCAGTTAGCAGTGTAAATATTCGCTTTATTGTACATCTGACGGAATTGTATCTCTTAGCTGAAGATGAAAGGGAAAACCTCTGGGGTCATTTAATATCCCGATAGTTGGCTAATTCTGAGAATCTATTCGAAATCTTCAGATTGTTTAACAATAATATCCTTAGTAAGACTATTGATTGAAGACAGATGTTTGATGTGTTTGAATACCAGCTAAGTAACAACTAGTTACTAACCACGTTTTGTTATTTATTAATAATGGTTTTTATATGTAAAAGAATCTTTTTATACTGATCCAGAAAGCTGAAATAAACACTATTTTAGTAAACAATGTATCATTTTTAAAAAGATATAATACTGTAAATCATTCCATTAATATATTAATAAATAATTTGTGATCAATTTGTCTTAAATAAACTAAATAGAGTAAACCATGGCTTAATATCTCATTGGAGACTTCTAGTTACTCTGAATTTTAACAGTATTGAAAAAACTTTAGTTTGGAGACCAGAAAATTATAAGTGACATTCATTACATTTATTTAAAATGAAATCTACGATTCGACACTGAAATATGTCCTTTGAAAAAGAAAAATTGTTGAAGAAATGTTTGCAGTAAGTTGTAAATGTCTAAAACTAAAGTTCAATAACCATAGGGGATATATAAATTTAGATTAAATGTTGAGAGATAATTAGTTTGACATTCAGGCTGTATTATTAGCCCAGAATTTCATTCTCAAAGTAAACATTGATATTAATGTAGTCCGAAATTCAATCAATCTTAAAGTTACTGAGTTGTCTATCACATCATTAATATACTTTCTATAGTCCTTAATTGATGGCCAATTATAAATCCTAACTGCGTTTGGATTCATGAGTATCTGTTAAATGTAAAAGCTAAAAAGAATAATACAGTATTTTTATTAAAAACATTGACAATCATATTTCTGAAGTTATTGTTCAAATTAATCAAATGCTTTTTGGATTGTCAGGTTCTTATCAATAATACTGTAAAACGTACGGATTTAGGAAATGGCGGGTTTTTTCCTTTTGGTATGAATGGCGTACTTTCCGGAGCTGGAACATGTTTTTTTGCATTTGTCGGATTCGATATTATTGCTACAACAGGTAGTTACTTTAATTATTACTTATGTCTTGGACTAGTATTTATATAAAATGAAAGATTTTAAGGGTTAATTTATGAATTTCTTAACAACGCTCAAGTTGTAAGTTCACTTTGTAGTGTTATTTTACATACTACATGAAGTTCTAATTCCTTGAAAAGTGAATATAGAATATTCTGTATCGTTAATTGTATAAATTAAACCTTTTATGAACCTACATGAGAAATACTGTTAAGCATATATCTAAATATGAAGATTGATCAAAAGAAAAAATATGAATTTTGTTTGCTCGAATGTTCATCTTACTACTATAGTCGTGCATGATAAATTTCAATTCACAGGTCACAATGATCTTAAAATATTTGGATAAAAATTATAAATACTTTTAGTTGTTGTCAGAATAAAAGGACTTGATAGTTGGTGGTTGGAGGTAGTCAACAGGAAACCCTGGACCCGGGTTTCGTGCTATTTGGCACTCGTCAGCAAGGTGTACCTGTAATCTTGAGGGAACTGGTGCTCCCTGGCGGATTCGATCTCGTGTCACCCAGCTTCACAGTCAGATACGTTACCACTGAGCTATCCGAGCCGTGACTAACCTCCTGTAGGACTAACATGTAATCACAATTGATTGATCACCACCCAGTGATCAATCAATTGTGAACTTGATAGTTATAAGCTTTTGTATGTTTAATAAATCAAAATCTAATGATAAAAAGTAAATCTTAAAAAAAACTTGATCTACTAAAATATGTTATCCGAAATGAATTACAAAATATCAATCATATTTAGGTAATCATTAAGCTACAATTGAAAAAAATCAGCACCTTCACAATATATATAATTACTGACAAAAATAAGTCTAATAGGAACAGAATGTTTTGATGTTACCAGACTAATTAGAATAACAAGCTCTACAGTTACCAGTTCATCATCTGCTAAATTTAACTTTTTGAAAATGAATAACTTTATATCACGTGATCAAACTGTATTATTTGTTCAGTTTACCAGTATTTACTGGTGATTACTTGGTGAATTCAAGATTGATTGTTTTGTTTTATTTGTTTTTGATCGGTAAGCTTAATATATATTTCATTAATTGGCGATAATTCGACTGAGACTCGAACCTAACGTCTGACATTTTAAATGCTTAAGTCTTTCTGATTTGACTGTTGCTAAAAAAACTGCCATCTTATTGAGGTGATTTTTAGGTATCACTGTGACTTAGTTTTTTTTTAAATATTGAACTCTTTTTGTTCTCACATATTGTTTCCTATGCCATCATCCAAATGTTATCATTTTTGATACTTGAACAATATTTTGTCAACGGCGAAAAATGGAACTCCAGAAATAAGTCGTTTAAGACTTATAATAACATATTAAGTTATGAGCATGCTGCTCTAAATTTATTTAGGTCAACGGTAACAAGTTATTTATTCTAGCTTCTTTTAATCACAAACTGTACATAAAGTTTTACTTACTTTTTTCAATTTTCTATTTTATTATTTCTAAGGTGAGGAAGTGCGTAATCCACAAACAGCGATTCCTATAAGTATTATCGGATGCCTGCTAATATGTTTCTTGGCATATGGCCTTATATCTGCTACACTTACGTTAATGGTACCATATTATTCTATCTCTTCTGTTGCTGCTCTACCACTTGCATTTAGTCGCCATGGCTTACAATGGGCAAAATACATTATTTCCACTGGGGCTTTGTGTGCTCTAACTACTAGGTTTGTTAATAATGCTTTAACGTAATAACACTTGAGAAATAATAAGAATCGATTTGACCAGAATATATTGCAACTATGGGTTGATATTTGCTGAGAAAGTATTTGAAATAAATTAACAGCAGACCATCTAATGTTGGTTCTGTCATCCTATTTATATCAAATTCAAGTCAGAGAAAGCAGGGGTGTAATTTCTTATTTTATCGATAAATTATCAGGTTATAGCTAAATGACCATTGCCTTTGAAATTCATGGGTTCCCAAAAATGTTCCAGACTAAGAAATTACAGTTATTTATTATCCCTATGATACTGAATCTATATCATCGCATAATTGAAGATCTATCTAAAATGACTGAATAAATCCATAAATTTGTTAAACGCTGATACATTTTACAACAAAACTGTTTTATCACGAGAATACGGAATATAAATCACAGATCATTTTCCGTATCTTTATTTACATTCAGTTAATCGATATACTTGTTTGTAATTGGTAAAAGCTTTTGATTACTGATTAAGAAGTTCTGAACATGAATTCGGCACTTAATTTAGCTTTCGTTTATAGCATACACTTAAGGTTGTCTCTAGTTACATAGCTTTTCCAACCAGTATTTCATAGGCCATTGAAAATCTTTGACTACAATCATTGCTATTTTCATTTGGTTGTTACAGCTTAAACATCTATCAACCTGTAGACTGAAAAATAAACTGAGTTAAAAATAGCTTAACCAGATTAATTAATATATGAAAACGTTGTTTGATGGCTATGAAAATATCAGCATTTTTATGACTTTATTATCAAACATGCACTTTAATTAAATATCATTATAATGTTTACATTTTGGTAAGTGCAATGCTTATGAAACTTATTAATAAATTTTATATTATTATTGTTGAATTGAGTGTTTTGTTTTAGTCGATAAACACCATACAATAAGTGGTATAAACTGATTTACTCGTTAAAGTAATTTGATTGTTTTCAGTTGAACAAAGCAATTAATTTCGCTCAGAAGCTTCTTATACAATGCATACTGGCAACTGCTTTTCTTTACAATATCCTAGAATGTTTTTTTCATGATGCAGAAGAGCTTATCCTAAATCAGTATTCTATTGCATGATAGTCAAACTGTGGAAGAGACAAATGGTTATTGTTTGTCTATCTAATCACATTAACTTGTATGTAAGATAATACTTGAATGAAATAAAATGAATACCATATATTTCCCTACTACCTGACTCCATCAACGATTTGATATTCTGATTGATGAATAGATAATGAAACATCTATTTAATTAGGTTGTTGATTAAGACTACCATATCTCCTTGTCAATACAATAAGAGATGTAAGAAAAAGATATACAATGAAACGTGGAAAACAATAGGATAATTTGACGTTAATTTTTTAAAACAAAATAAAAAGTGAATACATCTTTTTTTGGTCATTTAACTGTCAAAGCTACTAGTTCGACAATAAAGCTTACACTATTAAAATTTCACTTCAATTAAATGAGTTATTAAAGTAGTATGATATATTCTACTTACAACCTGCAAATGTTCATCACTATAAGTCCACTAACGCAATTGAAAATGATATACTAAACAGTTATTAACAACTCAAATGTGACGCATATTTTACCAAAGTTTATTAGTGGTAGTTCATCATTTTATTAACTGGTTTGTCTCCAGTGCATAAAGCGGTGGACCTAAAGTTAGCATAGTTCTAACAACCTGGAAATTATACTACGAATGTATATAGTCTTTAAAATTTGTTTACTGTGAAATAAGTCTGTTCTGAATTTTGCATTTTCATCTCTCGATTTTGAAATGAATGTTCCTTTTACTTTTATAACTGGAAAGTCCTAAGGAATAGGACAGTAAATATCCTAAAAATACGATGTTCATCAAATATCCATGGCACTTAATCATATTTATTTTTCTATTATTATTTTTGTATGTAAATGTATCATTCTATTGCTCTACAAATCTATTATTTAGGGTTTTATAAAATATAAAAAAATGTGAAAAAATAAATGTAACTATTTAGTACTTATCATACTGTTCACTTCCATAATAATTTTGAATAGAGTAATGTGATCATTATCATTGTCTGTTGTATGATAAATGGAATTATCAGCACTCATTTTTTCACGTTGCTTATTAAATCGATCAAATGACTTTTACTAGTTACAGGTTGAATGAAAGTTCTTAATAATCATATCATGATATTTTCTTTTGTGATCCTTCATTATTACTTCGAAGCAAGAAGTTTTTTTCAAACAATAATTATTTACCTAAGTAAATAAAACTTGAAATCCTCTGCGTATGTTCTCTGCTGGAATTAAGGCTTTATTCAATAATCTACTCAAATAACCCAAGACTAATTTGTCTGTTTTTCTATTCCTACTCGACTATAATAAATTGGACTAGCAAATCAACATAAACTAGCCAGTTCACAACTTTGCTCAATGTAAAAATCAGGGAAAATTATATATTTACAATAACCTTATTTAAATCAAGTTAATTATTTACCAGTTATTAAAATATATTCGCTCAACATTTTAACCATCTTTGTAAACTAATATGCTTTTATTGGTTGAAATCAACCGATAAAACAAACAGCATAATGAATTTTAACTATTATATCCGGACGAGAATAAATCAATGGACTAATATTTTACGGATATTTCTATTGTATGACCATCAAGTAACTATATCATATGTTTATTCATATTCCTTTTGTTATAAGCTTTTATTTGACCTATTGATTACTGTTATATGATTTACTATTCCCAATCTATTGGTCAAAGTTCCTCACAATCACAGCCACTTTGGGCTTGTTCTTGTACAAATGTTATTTTCTATTTTATGGTGTGATGTGGTTTGATTTTACTTGTATATAAACCCATTATCTATGAAATATATGGGTTGTATCGCGGAGGCTGAGATTGGCGTTTTGGAATTAACAGGTAGGGTCGGGCGGAAAAGTGACTAATTCGAACTCTAGGCTGCCTGTACTGGTATATGCGTTATTAGTTTGATCGTATAAGTTAGCGTATCTAAATTGGTAATCGTATTTCGCGGTAATCGAACAAGCTAAGGACATAACATCAACTTTACCAAGTTTCAAAAGTATTAATTTGATGGTCATCAACAAATGCGAAATTCACTGCTTTTTAACATCTAGTACCTTGGATTCTAACTTATGAATTTGCTGGTATCATAAAAAATTTAATCAAACTTATGTAAATCATTTATGCACTAACATAATTCTTTTTAATTTCATTTACATTTCAATTAATTTAGTAAATTATACATATTTTTAGCCTTTTAGGTTCAATGTTCCCATTGCCACGCATTTTGTATGCTATGGCAACTGATGGGCTGTTATTTGGTTTTTTAAATCGAATAAATTCAAAAGTTAAAACTCCACTTTTAGGTACTATTGTATCAGGTGTTATTGGATGTAAGTATTTTTGAATATCCATGTTTATGCATAAACATATATATTACAGCTTTAATCAATAGGCTTAAATGGTATATATTGGAAATCGGTGGAACCATACAAAACCAATTTATATGACTGAATATCTTGTTACGTAATATTGTAGATATACTTTCTTTCTGTCATGAGTGATAGTTGTAAGCTCTGATCGTGTTTTTTTATGGTTCAAGTATTGCCTAAATCATAACCAATAGGTTGAATTTCTCATCTTTAGTTTTATACAACAATAAGTAGTTGTATAATTTGAAGACTTATTTTGATACAGATTTATCACATGTTTGACATCTAGAATTATAATTTTACTTATTATTCAACTTTTCTTAGTAATAACATTAATAAATGGCTTATTAACAAATCATGCTAACCTACCCACTTATATATGTGATAATTTCAGGCATAATGACGGCAGTATTCAGTTTACAAGATCTAGTCGATATGATGTCGATTGGAACACTTCTTGCTTATACTCTAGTATCTGTTTCTGTGCTTCTTTTGAGGTAACATATACGTTCTATGAAATAATTCCTGTATAAACTGACTAAATTTTGGTTGTATACTTGTTGATTTGAAATATTTGATGCTTTATCGTTCAAAACATTTATTTGGATGAGCGTCCGAATTATTACCTTTATTTTTATACTCATATATTAACAAATATTTGTAGTTAGTATAAAACTCTATTGAAATTCTTATGAAAGATATTCAGTGATCTCAAGAATCTTGTAAAATAAATTTTCCAAGACGTAGTCAAAGCCTCTATGCATTCTCAATATTAAGAGAGGGAAAGTGCCTGAAAAATATATTCGGAATGCAAACAACATATGGTCGACCAATACAATCCATTATCTTCAGTAACCACTTTTAAACATCTTACAGATTCCATAAAATATTATGATAGTAAAGACAAAGATAATGGCATTTTATCAAGATATATATCGCAGCTATCAAAGCGAGATTCTTGATCTTAATACCAAGGTTGGATTTTATATCTCAAAATGTTTATTATTATTAGAGTGAGAGTTGAATCTGAAGGTTTCAATTATTTCATTTTTTTAAGTTTGAGAAAGAGACACGTTGTCTCAAATAAAATTAAATCACTTCTCAAACATACATATACAGAACACATGGGACTTGGCTTACTCATAATACTATGCTTTTCTTTAAACAAATGAAATAAAGTGTAAACTATTCCATCAGTACCTAACGTTTTGGTTTATAAGAATCTTACTTACAAAGTGAGTTTTCTCACGGAAGGCTAATCAACTGGCGTGTGTATCACGCGATAACATGTGATGTCTTACTGTTTACTTTAATTAGTTATTTAATATCGTATATTTACTACTACCATTGCTTTTGTGTAACGCATAAAACAATGTTTACAACTTAAAGTTACGGTTATCTACAATAGACAAATGAGTAATAACAAAAACGAATGATATTGTTTCTGAAATAAAATTTTCATGTCTTTTCCATCATATTAAGGTAAACTTTGAAGTTTATACAATGCAATCTAATTTTAGAAATATTTCATACTTTCAGGTCTTACACTCATCTGGTTTGTATCTACCATTGAAATTTTTATTTACTTAGATAATAATGTTATCAGAGAATTGGGGTTTTAATTTAGGAAACAAATTACTTAAGTTAAAAATACCAACTAGTATAGTCTAATTTAGTGGTTTACATATTCCTTATTCATCGTGATGCCTAAGGAACATGGGTCCTATTAGGTACATAATTTAAGAGTCTTAAAAAGAAAAAAATCAATGATCCAGTACACTTCCGTTTGGAGTAATTCTCCATTTGGCGAAAATTGTGAAAAAATCCATTTTTAGCATAAATGTTTAATAAACATAAAGTGAACTAATGACTTTTTAAATTTATCTATAACTATTCTGTTTTCCTTTCCAACAAAATTCACATTTTAGAGGACAACAAATGTCCATTGGATATTGCATCGGGGACACGAAAGATTATACAGAAGTATTGATGGACGATGAAAGTTGGCCAGCTGATAAATTACCTTTATCTGAGTAAGCCTCTAGAATGTTAAAAATTATTTAAAATCCCACCGAATATTTAATGTATAACTATCACAATACATTTTATAAATAGGTAAAAATGTAGATATCATGTGATGGCCAGAAACTGTTAATTAATTATAATTAAGACATTTGTACACTAATTAGTAAACTGGAAATTGATTAAAGACGATAACATGAGTAAATAAAATATAAAATCACCTAATACTATGTACTAATATTGACAGTTTTAAAAATATTTAGTGGGAAGTCAAACCTGTACTATAGGTTTAGTTAAATTCTGTCTTATATGAATGATGTCTTCAAATCTTCAGTAAATCCGACGAACGTCTGTAAACTTTGTACTAATTTTTGATTGAATACTTTAAATATCGATTTGACGATGTAGGTTTCCATGTGACCGGATACTGGTTGCTCACGCCCAAATGAACTAATGAGTAGCAAGATTACCAGATAGAAGAATATGTTATTTACTGAACAAAATAACACGTCTGTTTACAGAATAATGACGAAAACAGAAATACAATTAGACGTCATAAACGATTATAGAAAATCAACTTTGAAAGTCGCTCAATCTTTAAAAAATTAAGTTTATTATTTTATACAGGTTTCCTCAGTGATAAATTTTAACTCAGCTTTATTCAAACATGTCGATTGTCCGACGAGTAATGAACATAATTTTAAGTAAATTATATGTGTACTATAGATTTTATGTATGAAACGTTTTCTCTAATCATTTTGACTTTAGTTTCGATAAACTAATTCTGTAATAATATTTGACAAATTTTCCTCATTATATCAAAAAAAGTCTCTTTTTAGAAATCCCTTGCAGAACCCGTGAATGATTACGTTTTTATTTGTATTCTTTCAACCATTTATATGTACATATTCATTTATGAATTTCGCACTTATTATCATCATCATCATTTAAAAAGGCTCATGAAATGCATCCCATTTTGAACTTAAAGCGTGTCGGAGTTAGTTACTCCTACAAAGTACATTAATTTTTACAAACATATTGGGCGAATTTGAATGTGCATAAAACATTTATTTGCTAGTATATACTCGTTAAACATAAAACATAGTTGCGTTTAAAATCACAAATATTATAGTTTGTTCCTTAAAACTGAAATCAATTATGTACAGATGTAAATTTTGAATTTGAGTTATTAATTTCCTTTAAACATATTCCTTTCAATATTACAGTCACCGTATACCATTAAGTTAAAAGTTAATATTAATGCTTAAGTTTACTTGTCTGTGTTTTCGGAACATCTTACCAAAATCGTAAAACAAAACTTTTTCATCTTTATATATATATTAATTTATTACTAGTGAGAAATCATATCCACTGAAGTTTTTGAATGAAATAGCAGACAATACACTTAGTAATGATAAAGAATCATCGAATGGTCCTGATGAATATTTCGATCATAATAAACCCTCTATTCCCCCAATTAACGTTGATAGTTCAAGGTAAGTGATTATTCTCAAATTTCATATTTAATTCTCAATCAAATTTTTAGTTTTAAGGCTAATTTGACTTTTATTACAATCCCATATGTACAATCATTATACTCGTCAATCTTAAGCTGTGATCAGATGCATTTATTGAATTCTCCACTACTGATGGTAGAATGATTAATCGGTAAACGTGTAAAACTTTTTAACCCCTGAATTTAAATTCTTTTTTAATAGTTTCAAACACATTTAGTTTATAATAGTTCACAATGTTTAAAACAGTATGTCGCATATCACAGTAACTAAAAGTAAAAATTAGTTTTTTTCTTTCCGAAATATTTATTATTAGATAATTGACCAACGAGACTCTGTATTTTATTAACAATCTGATAACCTTTCAAAGACATCAACTTACTAGTCGTGAACCTTTTAGCTATGCACTAACGATCGACTATGCAAAAATGAACATTTTATGCACTAAATGATTATTTGTGAACTAAGTGTTGATTCTATCCCTTACCAAATCTGAACTTAATGAGATATATTTATGTTTAAATCTTGAAAAATGAAACAATGACTGTCTCTTTTCAAACACTGAATAAACTGCAGTTTTTTTAGGGTAATTGTTCGTAATGGGAAGGAATAATGATACAGTGTTTGTTAAACTTCATTTAAGAATTTATCATTAATGTAGTGGTTTTTTACGTTTTCTTAATTCATTCGATAATGTTCCCCATCTCTGTTACTAAGTAAACTCTAATTATATACTTAGAAAATGTTACCTCACTAGTTGCTATAAGGAAGTAATTTTGTATAGATATGTGAGTGTTTGATCAGCTGATAAGATTATGATGGGCTGATGATTGCTTACATAAATCAATTTGTGCATCTTTTATCCACAAATGAAGCCGTATCAAAGGACAAATGACCGACAGACAGACCAACAAAAAATTTTTATAGTGATGTTAAACGAAAAAGTAAAAATGATTAAAAGTCATAAGTGATTATGTCATACAGGTATTATGGATCGCTTACCAATCTATGAAGTTGTAATTGCATATTCAATAAGAATCCATAAAAATATGTTGCATATAACAAGAAAAGAAATACTTCATCACTCCGTGCTGGCTGAAGTAAAAGTCTGGTGCAAATCATTTTATGGGCTACGAATAAGTATATAACGCGCTTAAAAATTGGAAATGATTGTAAATTAAGTTGTAAAGACTGAATATCAGGATAGAGCCATGTAGAGAAACTAACTGAAATCTCTTCACTTGACTTGTGTTTACTTCTTAACTCATAACCACTCATCCCAGAATTCGTGGTCAAAGTATATTTTGTTTAAGTTTTTGTGATTGTTATTACTTCCTAAGGGAACTTTATGAAGTGGTTATTCTTTCAGTCTATAAACACTGTTTTTCTCTCATGTCTTTCTAGTTTATCAACGGCTTTGAAACAAACAAACAATTCATCACTTCCTGATAATATTCATCTCGACATTTCAAATTATTTTCGAAGATGCTTCAAGCGTGAACCTGGTCAGGATAAACCGTCTCAAACTACTGAATTAATTTATAAAATAAATAGTTACTTACTACGTGAGTGATAATTTCTTTAATTAATAGAAAAATAAAGGGATGTTCATTTCATATCGTGGTTTTTATCAATTAAAAGAAACAAATATTGGTTTCGAACAGTTGGTGTAGATCTTATAAAATACAATATCATAATCTCTACACGTTACTAACAATACTAGAAAGTCTGCACCATTTATTTTAACGACGTATATCTAATGGCTTTTATTATAATTGAAATTATGTGTAAATGTTTGGTTTTTCACCTTAGCTAATATGACGTGTAGCGTTTTATTTAATTAGCGATATATAATAAAAGTGTATTTAGTAAATATTAATAGTGAAATTCAAAGTGTACGTTTTGTTTTACTTAATGTCCAGTTCGCACGCAAGGACGATTGTATATACATATGAATTAAATCAATAGTTTCAGTATTTTTGATTTGTTAATCTAACAACCATCATCAGTGTATTCAAAATTTAAATAATATCATTCATTGTTGTATCAACTTTTAAAGAAGTTTCCCTTACATTGAAAGTTAGCTTCTTATGTGACTTCTGTGTTCCGAAAATTTATCCAAAGAAATTAGTCTTGTGTTACCCTTTTGCAATTTAGCATATATTTTGATAACAAGTTCAGTAAACGAACTAAACATTTCTCAACCATCAGTTGAGTACATATTGAAGACATTATCATCAATGTTTTGAGTAAGCTCCGGCGGATATCGATCATAAATATCTATCATCATTGGCTAAATGAGAGAAACGTAAAACCAATTAAGTAAACCGAGAGTTTCCTTAAGGTGCCAAATAAAAATTCGCTCATGAATAATGAGTTTAAAGCATTGATACTGAAGATGGGACTTTTAGAAAGTCCGTGAGAAATGGTATTTTTGTGGAACATCGAGTTATCTCGGTACGGAACCTAGATGCGTTAAAGATGAACTGATACTTTTGATTAAACGCAAAAAGGATTCAGAGAAGAGATTTTTAGTTGCGATGAAATCGTTAACTTAAGCTTTACATTCGTTTTTATAATTGTGTATCTTACAGTTTGCTTGGTGTCGGAAGTAAGTTTTAACGACTTTACATTGCGCGCTACTTTCAAACATATATCTGAGCAATGTTTTATCGGTCTCACGAAAATAAATAGTGTATAAACTAGCGATTCAGTTCTTGAACTCTGACTACATGAATCCTCCAGAATCTAATTTCAGAATTATTCTCAATGTAAATTTAATTAACTTAAAGAGATAATGAATTAAAAAATAACTTCGTCCATTCATACTTTCTTATTCTGTGTTTTCAAAGAGCCTAGCTAATATTTTATTTGACGTCAGTTCTTACTTCTTTTTAAATTAGTGTGAAAATATACTTTTTACAAACAGTAAACCTGATATATAAGACATTTTAAATTTAGAGTATAATTAATTAGCTTTTCTAGCTTCATAAGTATGTAGTGGTTTTTAAAAGTGCTACTCCATCAGGTCAATGATAGTTCCATGCTAGGAAATTCTAAGTCATTTCCTGAAATAATTGTACGATCTATTTGGCCATCAAACGTACTAGTTGATTTGGCATAGTGTACAATTTTGGCTACACCACCGTCATTAACTAACATTTACCTAATCTTGAAAAAAAATCATAAACCACATCACTTGCTAATGTAAATCTATTATTTTGTTTTGTTTTGACGTATTCAACGCATACTTTCTAGTTTGCTTCATTTTTCTCGGCAATCTGGGTATATTATTGTTAGATAAACTACCTGGAGAAGCGACAAAAAATATGATAGTCACAGTCCCAATATGGACGTTTGTTGGATTAATGATCCTGATCAGTATTATCATTTGTTCAACATTAGCCATTCAACCAGAAAATAAAACACCTGTGGCATTCAAAGTACGTATTATAATCTCATGTATAAAGTTTTCTTCATTGTTAAGTTTTATTTAGTACAAGTGCTTTAGAATATGTTCGTTGAGAACAGCTGATTAGAAAACTTATTACTTCTTGTACTTAATTTCAAAGTTTGAGCAACAGACGGGCAATCTATTTAAATCATTTTTATTTAGATATTTCTTAATTAATATCTGCAGGTATTATGCAAATATTTTCTTACATCTCAATCGAAGAACTAGTTTTGACAATTAGATGTTCATTCCTACTATACTTATAACTTTATAGCCTTTATACTTCATCCATACAAGTACATGTAAACGCAATGCTCCATATTATACGGGGATATTTACAGACTATGAGACACTCTAAGGTGATTTGCCTGATCTTCATTTTATATTTATTTGGTAGTGATGATAACACTGTTATTCACTGACGCCGCTGTTAAACTAAAATCAGCTGTTTGGTTAGTAAAATTTTGCTTCAGAAATAACTTTTTGCTACATATTTGTGATGAATCTGAGGAAGAATAATATATGAGTCTAATAAGAATTATTGAGTCAAGTGCTATAAAAAGTCAAGAATACTCATAAAACAGAAACACTCTCCAATATTAATGGTTTATTGAAGCTGTAACTTCAAACAACATTCTTTTTTACAGGTCCCTGGGGTTCCATGGATTCCAGCCATAAGTATATTTATCAATGTATATTTAATGGTTAAATTGTCAGGGGCTACATGGATTAGATTCTTAGTCTGGATGATTATTGGTAAGAATCTTTGTCGATTTGTTTAAATAGGGAAATTATTTGATCTAATAGCTTACGATCATGTTCATATGAAAAAGTTCATGATATATCACAACATTTAACCCTTTTATTCAAGTGATAAGATGTTTATTTTCACGGACGAACCAAAACAAATAAACAGCAAATAAATGTTACCTTTTAAAACGGTTGAAACCTTAAAAAATGTCAGAATTCTTATTTTACCACATGTCTGCACTTATTATTGGGAATCATGCTTATTTTTCTTTGTATGCTGTAAGCCACAAATAACTTTCACAAAACTTTAAGTAGCAAGTATCTGTGATCAAACATCTCAACAAATAGATAGACTTGATAGTAATACGTGATGAAACATGTTAGTACTTTTTTTCAGGAATACATTTCAACTAATTTTCTTTCTAATGAAAATAAATCCTTAAATAATTCATAAAAGTAATGACAATAGATGTCGAAATATGTGTTTATTCAGATTCTACTGACTAAAGAATACTTCTTCATAGGAGACTAATATGTAATATTTGAGAGACTGATTGCTTTTACATCTCATTGATGACTGGTCTTTTTCCTTAAATTATTCAGAATCTATCAAAGGTGTGGTTAATTTTTTGGTAATCCTACCTAAAGCAAATACTTTAGTAAAAAGTTAAATAACCATCAGTTAGTGTAACATCAAGAACTGTTACATGTACGTTGTTCAGAAAATAAGAAACTGGTTTACACATTGTTATATAGAAAATGAACTAGTGGTTATAATCAAATCTCTAATTAATGAATTTCTGCTTTTAATTACTACTTGTGTTGACTTAACTTCTAGCTACCAAATTATTCAAAGATTCCTTCGTTTTGAGTTGTTTCTAAACCAGTTTCTTGCTTTCCTTACCACTTTAGTTAGCCTGATAAACCAATCTCTATAGATTTGGTTAGTTTTCAGTTAAAATCTAGACAAATGGAATAGGAAATCAATTGATAATAACTATGCACCAATATCAATAGCTATTTGAGCGCAAAAGCAATCACATAATACATTCGAACGAGGTAGCTCATTTATCGTTATCATTATTCCATTTGTTGAATAATGTCGAAATTTCTCATTAAAAATGAGTGTAAACGAAGTATGTCTACCAAAGAAAAATGTCGACTACTTATAGCTACCTTGTTTTCCACTATTCTCTGAAGAATGCTTGTTTTGGCTAAAAAAGGTGTATTCACAAACGAAATAGATATAATGCTATATACGTCTCATATAATTTGATAAATGATTAATAAATTTACCTGTGTTTGAACACTTGAACCTACTAATAAATTGTAAAGATATATATTCAGAATGTTTTTCTATTATCATATTCTTAAGATAGCAAACATCTGGTTACTAACTTATTGATATTTTCATTCACACAAGTATGAAGAGATTACTGAGGGAGGGAAAATTCTTTAGATTTGAGAGGAGTAAGCATACTTTATTTACTTCATTGTTTACATACATTATGCTTATAGATTCAGTGAATACATATGATTTTGAGATAAATCTTTATTTTGAATATCAGAAAACATTCCCTTCGTACGAACAAAATACGACTTTTAATCATTGAATTCATTAGTCAATCTAAGCAAGACCACTATTGAAAACGTCGAAGCATTGGACGGCCGTCTCGTTCTAATATGGGACCCTCCTGCAGTGCGCATCCACGATCTCGTATGCAGGACGTTGACGTCTTGTGAACGAACGCTTAACCTCTGGAACACTGGGCCAAAATTCAACGGTGTTAATGTCTAACTTCAATCGATAATTGTCTTGGTAAACTTTGAGAAATTATCGATTCTTATAAGAACATTCACACAAATAACCTTTTTTGTATGAAAAAACTCAATATTTTAAATAAGTTCTGGGAAGTGTGAAATCAGTCAAATTGACAGTAAGAATTAACATTTGGCCATTGAAATAAGTGGAAATCATGGCATTTTATTTATTGCTTTTAGTAGAAGTTAGTAACCACTAGTCTTATATTCAGTTAGTCGGAAGTAATCAGTATATTATTTTTGTTGAAGCGTTTTAAAAATCTTGACGTAAAGTGAATCTGGTTCAGATCCCACAATAAGTATCAGTTTCTTCGGGATCGTGGATACGAATGAAAGACTGGTATCCCGTTTCCAACTCTTGGTTGATTAAAAAAGGACGATGCTAAATAAGTACATAATTAACAGACCCAGAAGTCTATAATAATTATAGTTCAGCACTAAGATCTCAACTTAAGTTCAGGAGCTGGCTGCAGGACTGTTTGTAATAACTGATTATCGTAGTTTATAGGAAAGGATCAAAATCATTTCACGATAACCACGATAGGATCAGATTGGTCAAAATAGATTTTATTATGTTTGTTTTTATAATGGTCTAATGATTATCTGGAACTAATTTAAACCAAGGAGGATTTGCACTTGATTAGTATTGTACAAATCAAATAGTTAACTTTAACTATGTTTGAGAGATGCTAATTTTCTTTCGTGCCATATCATCGTAATTTATGGTGGTTTATTTAAATTCATTTTCAGTGCCACAGATACATTCACTAATTATCTTCTAAATTTTGTTTTTACCATCATTCCTTACTTTGCGTTTAATATAATTTACTTACCTTTGCATTATCTTTCTTATATTTAGTCTTTCAGTACGGTTAATAGTGATATTTATCTTCCTTTGCTTTTTATCTTATCAATTCTCTGCATTTATTTATATCGATATAAAATGAAATTACATACCTCCTATCAGGTTTCACATTTTCTAGTACTGAAATACAGCTAATTATTATCAAATCTAAATGAATGTTTCATTGAAATCAAATTTTAGCGTTAGTGACACACTAGATTACATGAGTTTACGGAGATCAGATGTCTTATCAATTTTTTTGCAGAAAACTGTCTAGATCACATGATCCCTTTGATCATAATGTTAACTATTGAATGCATAATGTCCTACAGGACTGAAAACTGAATAAATTGGGTGTATTAGAAATATAGGATTGCAAAAATGTAAAAAAAGGCACTTTTCGTAATTTCATAGTACATTCTGTAGATGATTCATCGATATTTTTACCATAACGTTTAACTGTTAAAACGCTTAAATCATCAAATAACATAAACTTCCTGATTTAAGCTATCAAATTACACAAAACGTTTTCGAAATAGAGAGATTTATCACAACAAGATAACATATGACGCACGTTCTCAGCTTTTAGCACAAATATTTCATCATTTTTTTAGAGTTAATTACAGGCGTATATTCTTCTTTACTTTCATAACTAGGTTTCACAATCTACTTCGGTTATGGATACTGGCACAGTAGGGAGAGAAAAAGAAAAAAGTAAGTATGATTTCTTTTCTGAGTATCCGCCAATAACCACTTGTTTTCACTAAGAAGAATGCATCTATACATGATAATTCTATCAATTTCTTATCAGAGTCGTAAATATTACACTTTAAACAGAATTCATATCATCATAAAACGATTATCAAATCTAAATCCATATTCTTCAATTAGATTTTGACCTGAATTAAGATTTAAGTTTGTTAATCAACACAACTTGTAGATTATTCGAATCAACCTATTTGATTTTAACCAAATTTATTTGCTTAAACCCAGTTAAATGTATTGAAATAAATACGAATGATATTTCTTTTAAAAATAAACAATTTGACTTCATTACAGTTCTTCTCTATTAATTGGTGTATTTCGTAAACTGAACTGATATATCTTATCAAGATTATAATACATATATATATATATATATATATATATATATATATATATATATATATATATATATATATATATATATATAGAGAGAGAGAGAGAGAGAGAGTAAGAATGCTGACTACATTTACTTTTCTGTAATCCATATGGTTTTGTCTTTACGATTGTCACAATTACTATGATATGTTATTTTGCTCACTTAGGCCTTATCCTAATATGGAGTAGATCTAATTAAACATAATATTCTTTGTTTGTATGTGTTCTGATTTACTCTTTAGTAAATCAAATTCACGTGATTTAACCACAACATACACATTGTTTCTCAATTTTTATCTGATCTTTCAACTCCATTAATGGTTTATTTTATATGTTCAAAATGCAATTGACTTAATATTTCGTATTTCTATTATATAAAGCTAACTAACACAATCATAGATTATATACATATATCTTATATTGTTCATTTTATCCTTATGATTATGAATTAGTAACTAAGCTATTGTAACAATGCTATTGTATTAAACTATTTTCTCGAATGTTCTTTCGACATATATAATAATCGTTCATATTTATTCATTTTCATTTTCAGATAACATCTGAAAAAAAGGAAAACCATAATATAGAAGCATCTTATTAGTTCATAGAAAGAATAGAGTTTATTTTACATATTGTTTAATTATTTTAATTACTATTTATTAATTTTCTTATATATTTCTATAAAATTTTTCTATTCATGATTTGATTTGTTTATATATAAAAGAAAATACCCTATGAACAATTTGCTTTTTTTAATATTTAATGTTCAAACAATAAATGATTACTACCCTGTATCAATTATATATAACTCAAAATATACTTTCTCATTACATATTTATTCTCAGAAAGAGGTTTTGTGGATACTATAGTAATTTCAATGATTAAGATCATGAGTCAATTGAAGCTAGACCACCATGGAAAACCTGGAAGCAGTAGACGGCTGTTTCGTTCTATTGTGGCATTCCTCAGCAGTGCACATCCACGACCTCGCCTCCTGCGAGATTCGAAGATTGATTTTTGAGTGTATCTTTAGGGAAAAAAATATAAGACAGTGGAAGATTTAAATAACAATTAGTTAAACAATCACTTTAACAGTCCTTAGTTTATTATTTAATTATTATGTAAATCTGTAACTAAGTACAAATTTATGTGGCCAGCTTTGAACCATACATTTATCAGGCAACGTGGTAATATTAAATTATTGTTCGAAATCAAATTAATATAGTGAGATTTAAATCAGTAAGCATTGAAACTAGGGTAATTTAAATACAGTGTCATGATTGCACGGTTTTTTTTCATAGTCATAATTATGATGAAACACGAAATTATGCTACTAGATCACATTTAGGCTTAACATTTTACTTGATATATTGAATTAAAATTCACTATTATACTACAAAGATCAACATACAAAGTGATAAAAAAAAGTATTCTTCCTCATGATTTCAGAATTCAATGAATATATACGATAAGTCATAGTAAACAGTTATGTTAAGATTCTATTTTATTTTTTGACTGGATCAAAATACATTATCAACAAATGACTACTGATCACTGGTAACTAATTCCACGTAGGCTAATTTCTGTCTTGGCGACAAAATAGTTAACCAAATTAACAGTCAATCCCAAATGATTTTTGATGTGAAGTATAATAATGAAAGCCAAGTTGGGTTGAGTTATGTTAGTTATTTTTATGATTCAATGACTAAAATAATTGTGTAATAGTAGAAAAATTTCATAAAGCAATTGAGTTTAAAAATATTTTGGCTAATTTCTTATAATGTATTTCGTTGATTGTTATTGTGTGACCAAGAAAACAATTCGTTCTAGCATAACAAAGAATAAAAGGCAAATCTTTCTCATTTATGTTATTCCTTTAATAGTAGTTTAGCAGTATAAATAACATAGCAAAAAAACTAATATTACGTTCCTTATCATACTGGAAAATCTTGAAAATTAATGTTCGTTTTACTATACTCATTACTTATTTGCTATACCATATTCAGAATATGTTCAAGTATTTTTCTGATTTTTGTTACTTGACAAATACCGTGTTACTAAATAAATAGGTAGAAATAAACTATACAGGCGACCTTGAGCGACTTATCAGCTGATCAAAAACCAGAGTTTAGTTATAGAACAATTTGTAATAAAATTAGAACGAATAAACTGTATGAACATGATTAATGATTCTTTACACGTTGAATTATTGATATAAACGTGAAATAAACGAGTGCTTGCGTTTTATTAGAGCCTGTGCGATCGAATTGTTATTTATCATTTAAATAGTCTAGAAACAGGAAAGTATTAATATAGTAATATACGACCACTCAACCTACCACAAATCCTGTCCGATATGACAATTATTCCTAATAAAAAGGAATCAAGTCTTGACGTTAGGACTAGAGCAACAGAATTCTTTGGATTTATATTAATCAGTACTTATGCAAATAGTTGCCTGCATTTAAATTTCGAAGATTTTCAAGTTATTCCGAAAAATCCATAAACCCCTATTGATATATCATCTGAGCTTTAAATCTATTTTTTCTCTGAAATACTAATGAATATTTCGTCATTTTAACAGTTGGTCAAGTTTTTTTCTATTACTTGTTCTTGTTATGACCATTATTTTTCTTATAATCAAAGTAGCTACCGATTTCTTACATAGCTCATGATAATTTCCAAGTTATTCGTCAATGACGTTTGAATATCAATGAACAATCTAAGATTTGATGTGTCAGGACTCATCGGTTTAATTCTGTAGTTTACTTTCACTACAAAGCTTAAACATGTTGACATGAACATAATGTTATGATGATTTTGTTGTTGTCCTCTCAATTACTATTTAAATCCATAGTGATGATGTAGTTTTATTTAAGTCATGGATGAATTCACCTGTTTAATTTTAGTTAAACCGAAATAATTTTTTAAATTTTATTCGATAAGTCAAAAATACTACAGTAAATGTTCTGAAATTAAAAAAAGAAAGAATAAAATTTACAAGTTGATCTTCTTTCACTATTTTAATGTATGTACTTCTACACATGTGGTTTATTGTCTGAAACAAGCATATGACCATTGACAGGATCGATTACTTTATTCACAAGTATAAATATATCCTGTTATAAAGGTAATTTTATATTAGTTTTCAGGAGAACTAGACTTCGTTTTTTTACAGGCTGGACAGAAAACCTCAATCCTTTAAGCCAACCACGCAAGTATTAAGAAATTCGGTGAATCGTTGAACTCTATATGTCTATATAATTTATCTCATATCCATTAAATAAAACAGGTTAGTAGATGAAACAGTCTAGATTGAAGCGATAAGGCCTAAACATGCTTAGAATGCATTATCTCATGTCAATATATTATTGGTTAGCCTACTTAGTTATTTTATCACATCTGTGGGATTCTCTTTTTTTTCATTATTTTGATATTTGAATTAGGAATTCTGTATCTTTCTGAAGATACACAATCTGTACATTGTTTGAAATCATTATATATAAAACTAATATTTATCATATATAAAACTTAAATGTGCCTATAACGTAGCTTTCATGTTATACATCAGGCATATTTCTCTACATTTACATTTTAGAACATTTAAAACAAGTTTCAAATATCAAGTATGTAACAGTTAATTAGATAATGAAACTTAATTGTTATCAAATTACACTATATATGTATGGTCAAAACCTATATTCACACGATCAGGTTTTATAGACGCTTCAAATTGCATATTATGATGTCATGTTAACAGTTTGTAAATTAGCTCTGTTTTTACAAAAACACATAGGCATTTATCGTCTGGAAAAAAAACTTCATGTACATTTCACAGGCTGTTATTTCACCTTGAATCCAATTATGATGAGAAAGTGATTTTATTGATTTTATGAAATCGTTCAGTTGTAAACCACTTAGATTATTGGCACAATAAATTTTGATGAAAAACTAATTATTTGTGATAATTGATATGACTCTACTAATCAGTTATGTTGGTTAAGTACTGAAATTCGTGATGTCAGAATTGACGTAATGAGGTAAATTCTTAGTTTTCATCACGGATTGACTTTATTTAAACTGAAACTGGAAATCAAGGAGGATTGAATGGATATTTCTCCCTATTATTAAACATGTAAGCCGTTGAATACCTACTCGAAAGTTTAAAAGTTAAGTGTGTGCAGCGAGATCGAAGGTTCTGAGTTCAATCCCTGGTGAGGTTGTGGATTCTCACTCTTGAATTTCAGGACTAAATATCTATCCACTTCTTACTGGTTCTGGTCGATTGTCCTACTAAAACTAATCTGTGATGTGAACTAACAAACTCAAAAATCTCCACAAAGCCTAATAATAAAGGTATAGATAAATAATATCGCATTTTAAGCATATCTACTTGTAAGTAGTTCAAAACGTAATCTCAATAAAATCGAATTTCATCTTGTCTTTTGTGTTGAAAGTATACTTTGTTAGGCTATAATCTGAAAGGTATCATACAGAATATCTTCTTTCATACATGTGTGAATCAATAGCAATATATGTACAATTGAATCCGGAAAACTTTATCAGAATATTCTTTTACTTTATTTTCCTTCACAGATTTAATCAAGATCTGAAAAATGAACTTTATGAAATCAGAAAAAATCGTTTAAGTCCGTACACATGAAATTGATTTTCGATGTTACAATTTGTAAAAGAGTAAATTAATATTTTATAATTGTGTTAAAAAATAATAAAACATCTCATTATTAAGGTTGAGACAGAAAACAAAATGATGAAGAAATTTGATGATATGATTATCATTATTTCAACCGGACAACTATTTTGGATACAGGAATAATGAATTTAAGAGAAAATTATACAACTTAGTTACACAAATGATAATAATTCTTGTCAATTTTCATCTTCCAACTCTGTGCATGACAGTGGATGACTGTAGTGGAATTAACATTCGATTGTCCCCCACTACTACTACTACTACTACTACTACTACTACTACTACTACTACTACTACTACTACTACTACTACTACTACTACTACTACTACTACTACTACTACTACTACTACTACTACTACTACTACTACTACTACTACTACTACTACTACTACTACTACTACTACTACTACTACTACTACTACTACTACTACTACTACTACTACTACTACTACTACTACTACTACTACTACTACTACTACTACTACTACTACTACTACTACTACTACTACTACTACTACTACTACTACTACTACTACTACTACTACTACTACTACTACTACTACTACTACTACTACTACTACTACTACTACTACTACTACTACTACTACTACTACTACTACTACTACTACTACTACTACTACTACTACTACTACTACTACTACTACTACTACTACTACTACTACTACTACTACTACTACTACTACTACTACTACTACTACTACTACTACTACTACTACTACTACTACTACTACTACTACTACTACTACTACTACTACTACTACTACTACTACTACTACTACTACTACTACTACTACTACTACTACTACTACTACTACTACTACTACTACTACTACTACTACTACTACTACTACTACTACTACTACTACTACTACTACTACTACTACTACTACTACTACTACTACTACTACTACTACTACTACTACTACTACTACTACTACTACTACTACTACTACTACTACTACTACTACTACTACTACTACTACTACTACTACTACTACTACTACTACTACTACTACTACGAAAAACAATATATTCATTCATTATCATTTACTGAACGCGTAAAGTTCGTAAGATTAATCAAATAATAAATCAGGTAACTGGATAATTTCCATTATCAAGTGAATAAGACAAAATCCTCTATATTGAAAAATTAGTTTCGTCATACTTGTATCAACACACCGGAAAATATTCATTCGGTTGTACCATAGATATATATGACCAACTTACATCCAATAATACTCCTTTACAAAATCATACTATCTTGTGACCTTAAGTCTTAGGAGATTCCCGGTTTGGCTGCTTTTCACATAGAAATTACAATATCTCATAACTAGAAAAAAGAAACTGCAAAAAACCCCCATAGAAACGTTAATATTTTCTACGTTATTGACGAACTTATTAACTTTTCCAATAAACTTGCAAATTTGATTTCATTTTAATTACCAAGTCTATACTTATCACCAGCTCTTTTATTCAACCCATCGTTACATAGATCATTTCCATTATCGATATATTTATAGTAAGAGGATGAATTTTAATCATTTATGTATTCGCAGAAGTTATTAAACTCATAAATCAAAGAAGGCATATGGAATTCAAAGTGAATAATCATGATGAATTAATGATGATAATAGTTCTGGAACAAGATTTTTCACAAGGACGAACTCTTACACATATTTGCTTTAATTACAATCATGCTATCTAGATAGTCACTTTAAGTGGTTATAATACGAGCTAGATCCATTTACATTTTTAGCTCAGTGTACCGATAATGGTTAGTAAGTTTTAAGGTGAAAGCTACTTTTTTGAACCTCAATATGATTATCATTTAGTAGAAGATTTCAAAAATGATTTATTGAAAAATGTCAACTAACACGAAACTTAGAGTTAGAGCTTCCACTGTTTATACTCAACTACTAAACGACTAATATATTGTAGGATATTGTTGAGTCACTTTGTGTAGTGATTACATTACAAATGTATTGATAGTATTAAAAAAATTACTAGGAAGTGAATAGCATATGATCAGTTGTTGTTAGGTAATCAGTAAATATAAATATAAACCACACAAACCTGTTAAAACCGTTAGGCTTCTAATTAGACTTATTGTGGACCGGATGCTCACCATATTTTATCTTCAGTTATTTTAAAATACGACATATTGATCATGCACTATTTTTATAAAAAACAATCTGTTCTCTCAGTTGTGTTGACTTCGGTAACTATAGCTTCTCGTCAAATTTTCCGGACTTCGAACAAAAGCATAACAATGAACAAGAATATATTTCAATCAATGATAAAATGTTAGCCAGGAAATTTAAGTCCCTTTTGAAAAATAACTTGATACTTGTCGGTTCTCAGCGGTCAATGAGCTAATATAGTATTATTATGCAAAAGTGTTTTATAGATATTTCTATATTCTATATATTCACTATCGTGAAAACCAGATAGTTTAACTAGCTGTATCGTCTTTTATCGGTAGATATTAATTTAATCAACTTCTTACCAAAATGTGAAATTATACTGGGCTTTTCTCATCAACTGTACATAGTCTCTAGTAAGAATTATGATAGATATAAAGAAAACAATCCAAGTAAAACTTTTAATTCAGGTAACATTATCAACAGCTTATAAATTAATTTCACATCGTACATCGTACAAACAAATTTTTTTACATTTCTAATAGTTATATTGATTATATCTATCTACAACCTCTCTGAATAACCGACATAATCATTTATCACTTGATAAGTTACACATAAAATGCTCACCAGATGTCTGAAGACTAGGTGGACTAAGGTAACAATTAAAAAATCCCAAACGGATAATTTTTTCTCAAGTTCAACTGCATCACGAATGAAAATAAACTAGATAACCAATAAAAATTGAATATCAATAAATATATTTTTTGATTTTAGCACAAAACTTCATAATGGTGTACACCGATCACCCTTCAATTGATTGAATCCACTAGATAAAGCAAGGGAAAAATATGTTTAAATCAGTGAGTTTGTATTCAATCGTTAATATTTCTAACGTCATTTAACTTCTCATAGTTACTTAGTTTTACCAAAAATGTTTAAATGACTGATGATAATCAACCTAGAAATTAGTCTAAAAGAAAGGAATAATTTTCATGAAGGACGACTATAGAATTTTTATGAACACATATATGACATCTTTATTGTTAAAGTTATGCATATTATGCTGATTCATAGATGACATTCTGCAATACAGTGAAATCAACTGCCAAATGGTCAAAACTCTGAATCATTGATTCAAGCCTTACAATTAAACTGGTGCTGAAAATACAATTGGCTGACAAAGCATCAAATATACATAAACATTCACGCCAAAACAAACATAACTATAAGTTTTAAAAGTTTGAATTTTTTTATTCTTGGTTTTCATGTCTGAATTTTTGGGCATAAATGCATTATCGACAGATAGAGTCGATATAGCTGATTTGTTGAAAACCTAGGTTATAAATACATTTAGGAGATGAGTCCTAAATGTGACAAAATATGCTCTCTGAGTTGCACTGTTGACCACAATCTATAGGATTAAAAGTTATGTAAAACATATGAGACGAGTTTTGTTGGTTACCAATTGACCAATGAAATTAAAATTCAACTTTCAAGTTTGATTATAACCCACGATATCTTAGAAATGAAAAAGATATAATGAAATAAACGTTGTCAGTTAAACCCCTGCAGAGTGTCACACAAAGCTCAAATATTATATAGAAACGAAAGAGAAAGGTTTTAAATAGGTCTGAAATATTGATTGGTATTACGTGGTTTACTGATCAGGTTCGTTTTAAAAACCAAAGGCTGGGATCATAAAAACGTAAGAATACTATTTTTAAAATAGTTTCTATAATTAACATTTCTTTGATTTAGTTGGAAACGTCTAATACATCATTAAGCACATCATGAATAATGAAAGTTCATCAAAATGAAATGACGATTTCTCTATGATCTACTAGTTCAGTTCAATCACAAATACACATACCTTAACATTTAACACAATCACCTACATAAGTGAGATTGATATTGTGTAGGAAGCTTTATTCTATGTGTTAAATGAATCTGCACATAAATCATGCTGTGTACAAAATAATTAGGTGATCCAAGCAAATAAATTTGGGCAGTGAACTTTGTTAGGTAAGTAATTTACTTATTAACAATATTCTTCTCATACTTGATCTATCGCCAGATCCATCAGACTTAGTAAGTGAATTATTTGACTTTCAATAAGTAATTTAACGCTTCGAATCTTATAACACCTATTTCTATTTGGAAAAGAAATGTAATGATTACCTTCGAATTTTAATAAAACTTTGATTATTTTGACGTCTTTTCAACGAAATATGGAATATAGTTAGTGTAGTAAAAAGGAGGCATTAAAGAGTCGGTTTTATGTAATACTCAAGAAGACAATTAGATACGGCGTGGCGTTCATAAACAATTACACTTAAAAATGTAGATAAACATATCTCTTACATAAATTTAATTTTCATTCCTATAGCTAATTCCCTGAGCTTCAAGGTAGAAGCATGAATAAAAGCTTCAATATTCACCAAATATTTTTCTCTATGTTGCAAATGGCCATTATCGACATGACAAACCATGAATGCACTTGATTAAATTTCTAACTTTAAATAAGTAAGATATATGGAACTTTATGTACGTCGGTGGGTGATTTTACAGACGGTACATTAGTGATCAAATATCAAAAGGTATCTTTTCAGTTGTTAATAAAATAAATCCAGTCATTTAGATGCTGTCACCACTATTTTCTCTAAATGACACAATTTTGAATTTCGTACACATTCAATCCATAATTCATTAATCTATAGGTAATGATATCACGAGTTGAATTCAGTGTTTTTACAGATTAAGCATTAATTAACTCTTGAAACTATCAATTCAAATCGAGAAACTACACGTTTATAGTGTACAAAATCTATTGAAATGATAATTCAGACTAAATTATACAATTTTTTATGCAAATTTTATGTGTTATAACTTATGACCCAGTTGCCCCTATCAATACATATAACGTGATGATACCGTCAATTAGAGAACAGTGTCTTATCGACCGACCAATGACACGTAAACCCATACGAGTAGTCTAGAATTCTTATCATTCCTGCTTACTGTCTAGCTCTGCCTGTTAAATCCGGAACACCAATCTCAGCTTTTGCGATACCAATCATGTATTTCAAACATACTCGATTTATATGCAAACCAAACGGATCACATTGTACCATAAAATGGAAAATAACATTTGCACAAGATCTAGCTTAAGTGGCTGTGAATACGGGAGACTGAAATTAATAGATTGCGCAGAACTCAAAAACTATAAATCGTACAATAATATTTTATGGGTCAAAATAAAGCTTATAATAAAAGGAACATGACTATGCATAGTTAAGCCACCGAACAATTATACAATAAAAATCTATATATAGTTTTGGTGCATAAATAGTTCTCACGAGTTACCATTCATAATTCTCATAGGGATATAACAATGTGCTTTGATACTTAGAACTTATTAATACACAGTGTCATTTATTTTTCAAGTTGAAAATAACAAATAATTACTATTAAATTAATTGTAAAAATGATAAAAAGAAAATGTAACTTTCATGAAATTTCAGTTTAGGTGGAGTGACCAACCAAATTAACTGTTACAATTTAGTAACTGTAAACTACAATTAAATTGGAGCTACTTATCCACCTATAAGATAATGGTAATGTGAAGTTCTGGTTGAAAGTTAGAATATACTGTCAATTATGTTTTACATTCTCTGTCTTCATTCACATCCCTTCGACATTTTTGTATGTTGTTTTATACTACTTATTAATATTGAGTAAACAGTTTTTTTCGTAATAGCTTCTACACATATGTTGTATAAGTTTATCGTGCAATATTGTAAAATATTTACATGCATTCATAACATTTGTTGTATTTGTGATTACAATTACTTCCTTTCAATCGTTGTAGTAGTTATTTGCAATTTTGTGCTATCATTTAATCCTTAAACGCAGCAGTTT